CGCGGGCGGGCATACAACTTTTTATATTGACATAATGAAATATGTTATATGACTTGATGTAATGTTCATATTTAAATGACAAGTTAATTGCTGGATTAGAGGCGCCGCAGTAAAGTGTACTATGACCTTAGTTACTTAATTAACTCATATATCAAGCAAAGCAGACAATTCAAAGACAAGTATATGAAGTAAATCATAACATATCAGATGCACTAGCTAATCACGCCACCTGATCTAGACTTACTCGTAATTACTAATTAGCCCCAATCAATCACCTCTCAATTAACTGTACATACACACACATATACATACTCGTTTGTACCTACATAGTGCCCAGACTACACCACCTCAATAATTACATAGATCAGTACCTAATCATTATGGTATGGTTTGCTTATGGGATGAGGCGCTAAACGAACAGTCCACAGAAATATTAAATACTGGCTTTTACCCGCGACTTCGCTCGCGTCACAAAATGATAAAAAGTAGCCTATGTGACATATACCAATACACACAGCGCCATCTATACCAATAATTCCGTTTTCCCTCGAGAATATTAAATTTTTCCGGGATAAAAAGTACCCTATTATTTAATCCAGACTTTTAACTTTACGTCTGCAAAAATTCAAAGCAATCAGTTTAGTAGTTACGGCTTGAAAGTGGAACAAACAAACAAACTCACTTTCCGATTTATAATATTAGTAAGGATATACATGACGCACACGGATCAATCACCTGATGGTAAGCAATCGGCGTCGCCCACGGACACTCAAACACCAGAGGTGTTACAATTGCGTTGCCTGGCTTTTGGGGATTAGAAATTTGAGGATGATTGGGGATTCGGAACGAACAAAACACAACGCAAGTGTGTTTATCATTCCTCATGTTATTTGTGACTAGTTTGGTTATCGGTATACTGATACAGACGAGCCTCCTCCTCCTCGCCACGGATTCTATTCGTAATAATTGTGGATATCGGTAATGGTTTTAGATGATTTTTGTCACTTATTATAATTTTATCGGAATGCCTGAAGTACTGCGAGAGGAACTTATGAATGCTACCATTTTTTAAATAAGTTTTACTTTTCTGGTTCGTGTATGTTTTGTTCTAGTTTTATTATTTCACCGTTATTTTATTAATGTGTCCAGTTACTTTAATTGGTTTTGTTATCAACCGTTGTGACTGTAATAAATAAATATTAGTCTATTAGTCTAATGAGTTACGGTATTAAATGCTTTAGGGTCTATAAGATCCGTTCTCAAGATGGTGGAAAGAAAGGTAAAGTAATCTATCCAAGAAAGTAGATAGCTACTTAATTTGAGTTAGTCTAAGGTTATTGCTATAGTCATGTTATATGTAGGTACCTAGTATATGAATAAATTTAAATGAATATCTATCACAAATTCTAAAAGATATGTTGTAACATAACATAACATCACGCCTTTTATCACCGAAAGGGTAGGCAGAAGTGCACATTACGGTACTTTATGCCACTGTACAATGTAACACCCACTTTACACTATTTATGTTGAGTCCCATGTAATAGGGGATGAGCCTATTGCCATATACCGGCCACAATTTCAGATCTTGTGCTACTATTGAGAAAAATCCAGTAGTACTTTGCCCGACTCGGGAATTGAACCCGAGACCCCTTGCCCAGTCGCACTTGCGAGCACTAGACCACCGAGACAGTTCAAGTCCAACATAAGTTGTTTTCCTAAGAATTACATTATAGAAATAAAATTAAATCGACTTTACAAGAATGTAATTATCAATATAGCTAAATATAAATTTTAATCATAACAATTGTTGTACGCGACACCAGCAATCAGTCAGCCAATTATTTCTCCTTAATTATACAATTTAGTTCATAATAGGCAATCAAACAGTCCAAGCCTGCTTAATATTTCGTTACATCAAATATCGATAATGACATAGCAACAAATTAATATTTAACTTTGACGACGCGGTGCGTATTCTTGCTATTTAATTTTGGTAGGCGGCAAAGTTTTTGCTAAGTAAAATGTATTAGGCGCTTGTTTTGTATCATTTGTTATTGACGAATGTTATAAAGTTAATATGAGTTGTAAATTGTTCGATACTAGGAATCAAGTCAAGCAATCATGTTGTCTGTAGTGTAACATAGAACGTTGTGTTCAGTGTTCAGTAAGACATGCGATGTCAACGTAACTAGGTACAAGTGAGCTCTAATATGTAGGCACTTGATTTATCGACAGACTGCCGTATTATGACAGGCCGTTCCTTGTAATGTGTCTTTACACCAATCAATAATATTAGGACATAGTCACAATTAACTCTCGGACCTATGTATTTATTATGAATTTGGCGACAAACAATCACCCGATAACAAAATATCAGCACTGGCCACAAACACCCAGACACTAGAGGCGTCTTAGTGCCTTTTAAAAAGTATAGTTGAAGGGTGAAAATGTTTAACTTTCATCTATAAGTTTCACATGAATCAGAACTGATCCAACGTAATACTAACACACGTATGTACTTAAAGACATTTAATGATTAATTAAACTTTTCTTGGC